ATTATAAAAGAATAATCGAGCAGGACTGGGATAACTGCAAATACAATGCAAATCATATTATACAATTGTCTAAGAAATTTCCATCTTTTCGTTTGTGCAAAACGAATGTACGCTTTGTGTGTTATTTATAGGTTAATAATTATTATGCTCACTGCAACTGTTTAAAACAGAATACAGATGTTAGGTAACTGGGATATTCAGTGAAGAAATTAGAACTACAATATGAATTGCTATACAATAATCTTTTATACGTTATTGTAAAATGAACATAATTCAAAATACCTTTGTCTGGTAAGAAATTAATAATTCTTTAATGTCGGTTTAATTTTTCGTATGGCGAATTTGCCACAGAAAGTGTTGAAAAATCGGTGTACGATAATCTTTTCCATAATCTTTTGCCGTTTACTATATTTCTGGCACGTTTATGCGACCATTGAATAAAGATTGGTTTAATGGCCGATACTGAATTTGATAAAAGAATGGTCGATTTATGTTGAATTCTGGTAATGGTAGACTGATCATAACACTGGTAAGTGCAAATTCCACAACTGTGAACAGAACATAAAGAACTGCTTATTATGCGTACTTGATCGTTTAAGATTGTTTTCACTCATGAATGTATATTCTGTTGCCGCTGTTTCGAGTTTTATACTTCTTTTTTATCAGTACCAAAACTACTTTTGCAAGAAAATTCTTATGACTATTTAGAGAGAGAGAGAGAGAGAGAGAGAGAGAGAGAGAGATGTAATTTATAAATTCTAAAAAGCAATTTAGAAGCAAATGCACATGTATGTTATTTGCTGATATAAACGATGCATATCAATCATGTTATTTGTGAAAATAGAAAAGACAAGGAGTGTCGAAAAAAAGATTTTTTTAATTGTGAGAGATTGAGCAAATGCTAAGAATGTCTAGGTAAAACAATTATATGTAGTTATAACAAGAAGGAATAGCTCTTGCTAATATAGGAAATCATTTATTTAAATTTACTAATAAATCTTTTAATGTATCAAACATTAGTTATTCCGACACAATTATTGTAATTATTTAAAAGACGATATATGTTTCGCCGCTAAATAATGTTTTCTGTAAAAGTTCAATAATTAAGTATTACAAATTGTAAAAATAATTAAATATTACGATTATATAAACAAAATGTTTGAGATTTTAGTATCACATTGTTATAATTAGATTGAATAAGAACCACAAACATAACAACTGTTCAACTAACATAAAAATGACAATGTATAAAGAACAAAAGAGCTTAACAATATCGAAGATTTTGTTTATACATAGCTTATGACATCGACAATTAAATTTATAGATTAGCGATATTTATCGTAAAGAATATCTACATTTCTGGGTTATTCATATGACCCTCGAAAAGATACGAACGATGTTGTCTCGTTATGACGAATATAATAATAAAACGGTCGATTTACGTCGAATTCTAATGGATTACTAATTATTACACCGCTAATATGGGTAAATACAGCTGTAAACAAAATATCAAAAAATCATTATGTACTCTATTTTCTTGTTCATGCACATTTAAAACTTTTCATACACATTACGAACGTATACTTTGCCGAAGATAGCTTCTAAATTTCTAATTCAAATGATTATAATGCCAAATGATTCTCGTAATCATCTAACTGCATAAAAATGGTTCAGAATATGAATACATAAACACATATGTAATTAAATTAATAATGCATGATGAAATTGATAAAAAAAAAGACAGAAGCAGATAGATGCAGATATTCAGCTGATTTTATTTTTTACAGAGTAAAATCTATTGCATTTCTGGTACGTTCACAAGGCCCTCAAATAAAGACACGAATGATGTTCCCCCATTATGACGAATGTAATAATAAAACGATCGATTTACGTCAAATTCTAACAATTCCCTAATTATTGGACTGGTTCCTTTACCTACTAGAGCTGTGAACAGAATATAAAAAAATCATTATGTATTTTCGTATTTATTTAAAACTTTCCATGCATGATACGAACGTACATATGTTCTACCGAAGGTAGGCAATATCTCAACTTTCTATTTAAATTATATTACAAAATAATTCTCATAATCATCTAACAACACAAAGATGATTTAAACAAATAAGTGTGTTATTAAATGAATAATGCGTGGTAAAGTTGAAGATAAAAGAAACAAAAGCAGACAGATGATTAGCTGATATTTCAGATTAGAAGATATTTAGCTGATTTAATTTTTTGCAGAGTAAAATTTATTGCATTTCTGGTACGTGCACAAGACCCTCGAATAAAGATACGAGCGATGTTCCCACGTTATGATGAATATAATAATAAAATGATCGATTTACATCGAATCCTGATTCCCTAATTAAGCTGGCAACTGGAGATACTAAAACTGTGAACAAAATATAAAAAAAGTCGTTATGTATTATCTTATTTATTTAAAATTTTTACGCACGTCACGAGAATATATGCTCTACCGAAGATAGTATTTCAACTTTTTATTTGAATAATTATACTACCAAATTATCTAGTTATGTAAAAGGTTGTTCAAAACATAAATACTCAAATAGGTATGCCATTAAATAAATGATAAAGTTACAAAATAAAGAAACAAAAGTAGACATCAGATGCAGATATTTTTATTTGGTTTTTATAGAGTAAAATTTTTTACGGAGTAAAATCTATCACATTTCTGGTACGTTCATACGACCTTTGAATAAAGCCACGAAAGATGTTTTGTCATTATGACGAATATAATAATAAAACGATCGATTTACGTCAAATATTAAAGGTACTTCTTCAATTATCATACTCTCAACCACAATTTCCACAACTGTGAACAGAATATAAAAGATAAAAGATTGTTTGTTATATTAATTATATACATATATATGCATTTATCATTAGAGTGATTTTCACTTTGTGTTATAAATGTATGATTTATTAAATTTGCCGCTTTAAATGAACTGTCTTAATTTTTTATGAATTATTCCGTTAAATAATTATTTCAATCTGTATAATTATGCAGAAAATGAATTGAAACATAAGCACATGCATTTATTTTTGATAAAAGTATTCCATATTACACAAATATCGCAATGTCTGTATTAGCGATATTTTCTCTAGCTTGTATAATTTCGGAAAAACTTGAAACTTTAAAATTATCATAATTTTAAGTTAACTAAGTATTAAAACTCCAGTTTGATAGTACAAGAGAACCGTAACGAAAATGAATAGATAATCAATATTGTAGATTTTTCGTAATTTATTCGTGATGTCAAATTGATAATGCTTTACGATACAATATTTACACTTTTCACAGAGCCTTCAAATAAAGATATGGACGATGCTCTCCCGTTATAATAAATGTGATAATAGAACGGTTGATTTACGTTAAATACTACAGGTTCCTCAATATTTATCCAAGCAAGTTTCAAGAATGTTATATCTGTGAACAAAATATAAGAAGTCGTTTGTTACACATTCGCTTAACCTTAGAACGTACGAAGTCATTGAGCGCTAAGATATGCCTTCAGTGATCAGTAGAAGATCAAAATCTACCATGCTAAAAAAAGCTGAATACTCTGATTGAGTACTCCAGTGTCATTCACCAAAGCAGAGACAAGCTTTTAAAAGTCCGATATGTATCAATTTGAACCTCCTGGTGATCAGTATTAAAAGAAATTTGATAATGTATTTATTCTTTTTTCCTTTTTTAAATTAATAATTAGATTTGTGTTTATAAAAGTTTATCGAATCTATTTATTACATATTATAATATTTTATCATTATTATATTTTATACTTTATCACTAAAAATATAAAAATTTTGTGTATGAAAAGTCTTATAGTACATTAACTAAGAATGATCTATTTTCTCGGACATAAAATTTACGTAATCAGTAATAATATTGCTCAATACTGATAGTGTTTTAGGGTTAAGCATTTCGATTTTTTTCACGTTACAAACTTTTATTTTGTCGACACTATTTCGAATTTATTGTGTGCATGATTTCTCGTCCATTATTTAAAAAAAAAATGCTTTCGGTTATATAGAGGTGGTTTAGAAATACAGGAATATTTTATCGCCAGCAAACGATGCATTTTATTTGAAAAGAATAGAATAAGATATTACACAAAAGTCAACAGTTTGACATTTCTAAATCTGTTATTATAATGAAATCGAAGAACGTTTAGCTAAAACAATAATTATATATATAACAAACATGTCAACTAGAGTACTTTATAGTTTGAGTTTGTTAATAAATGTTCGAAAAACGTATCGAACAATAAATTTTCAGATTACAAATTTTTTTGCGTGATACATTTTTGACATGTTCACACAATCACATGATTTATGAACAAAGATATGAACAATCTATTGTTATTCATATAACGAATATCATAATAAAACGGTTGATTTGTTTCGAAAATCTGTGTATATGTACCTATATTTACGGTGACCATATGTCTTTATTGTAAAGGCATCTTTTATTTTAGATAGCTGTCCTTTAGCTTTGTTTCTTCAAAAACTCAATTTTGTCCTTTATTTTTTAATATATTAATTAATATTATTCTTTACTATTCTTTATTTTGAGATTACGGAGAATTCTTTTCTAATTAGCGTTCTAATGTCTAATATTATATTAATAAACACATTTTTACGGAAAATATTTTACAGTTTTATGCATATAAATACAATTTGTTGTTGTTAATTATATTTCTTAAATTTAAAATTAAATTTATTCAAATTACAGTTGTTTTCATTTTTTATTATTTCGAATCTTTTATTATTTCAGATCAAAGATTTATTCCAATACAGTCGAACCAATTTCAAACTATCAGAAAACTGCGCATTATCTCAATTTGATTATACTGTGCAATAAAATTTTATAATATACAGATTCTTGACAGTCACAAACTAGTTGAAAAACATGGAACAAAACTCTAAAATTTTCAGATTTATCCTTTATTTTCTTTAAGAAAATATGATCACCGTACCTATGCTAACTATAAGTAGCACGAACGATTTTGAACTCCTGCGAATAAAATAACAAGGCAATCTGTATATCGAAATCTTTATCCATTTGTTTCTTTTTTGTCAATGCAATCCCTGTACAAATGTTGCATATCTCAAATTTAACTTGGTTCTCTTTGAGAAAATTTTTTTCTTCTCCGTTCTTTTCTCGCTGTTATCAATTATTGTTTATAATGTTTGCATCTAATTTATTCGAATCTTTATGTTCGTAAAAATCTTATAATTGAATTATTGGTGTCCCAATAAACAGTAATTATAGCCGTATTTCGATATACACTGCCAGTACTGAAAATCTATAGTTTACGTTATGTATACTGTAAATATATACTGTAGATTTTCAGTACTGGCAGTGCATATCGGAACACAGCCTATATCGTTGTAGTCAGTTGCGAGGTTCGATTTGTGTAAAATGTGAAGAAATTACAAGAATGATCGCAAGTGATAAAATTAATGCAAAAAGAAAAAAAAGGATAAGCAGGTTAATAAGAGATCTTACAGATCGTTTAGCTGCTACCACATTTTATGATGTTCACACGTGCGACTCATCTCTTTAACTTCTTAATCTCGGATCATTTACGACGCCTCGGAATAGTTCGAAATCGTTTGACCATCTCATTACGAATGAAAATGGTCTGTTTGCTTCGAAGTTCTTGAAATTGGGTAGAAATCTTCGATTGCTGATGCCTACCAGACAAACGTCAAATTTCTACCATGTAATCTTTTACACTAAGATTTGAAAAAGAAATCAAAAGAAGCATCAAAGTGCTTTTAAATGAATTCGAATTGGCTCAAAAACAGATTTGTTAACAGTTCTAATTTCTCATTTATAAAAAAATTTATATATTATTTTTGCTTACAGTAATATTTAGAAATGTATGTATATAGAATTAAAATATTATAATAAAGAATTATGTTAAAACGTTAAATTATTAATATTCTCATATTCTTATACAT